CTTCGTTTGGAAGTTCCGGAAGGGGTAAATCATCTTTGTATGTCACCTTCAACTCATTTACAGTAATTTAATTTACAGGATCAGCGCAAACTAATAGCAGTATGCAAAACAGGGATGATGCAGTCTTTTCTAAATTTGAAAATTGAGATTTTGAATGGAAAATGAAATGGTCACGTAAAGGAATTGCTAAAATAGTTTTGTAATAACTAAACACAGAATCACAATGAGCATTATTTCGATATACTTAATTTAAGACGTCGCAGTTTAAGCTCTACATCTAATTTTTTACACATTTGTCCGGCATGATCAAATATACGCTCAAAACATTTTTCTACATTTTCACGTTCAGAAATGTAAACCTCGATTATTTCCTGGAGCATATTATAGGCTTCCAGAACATCAGCAGGTCATCTCTGAAGTTGAACTGTAATTCCTTCTAAATGAGATAGATAATATGCTGTTATGATTGTTACAATGAAAGTAGATGAACTGATTGAATTCAGCAGAACCATAGCGTCTCGCTTACACTGTGCACTCCATTGATTATGCAGATAAACATCTGGTTTGGTTGGGCACACAATGTGCTCTAAGGCTTCAATTATATCGAAAAAGCTTTGATAAAAATTATGGTACACCTTATGCCACATGGCTCATCTTGTCCGGCAAAGGGTCTAATATTATTTTCGTGAACCTAAGCCATATGGAAAGACTCGGTGTCCGCCGAAAACGTCGCGAAGAAAACAACGCAAGGCGAAAAATGTCGTGGTACAAAACATCGTTGGAGAAAATTAAGCAAAGAGAAAACTTCGCAGTTGTAAAACATCGTGGCACAAAACATCGTCGTCGAAAATAAAGTAGTTCAAAAACTTCGCAATTTAAAAACATCGTCGTGGTAAAAAAAAAAAAAAAAAAAAAAAAAAGTACCTACAAATCATCGCAGACATGCGTTTTTCAGGCTTAATATCTGTAAAATTAATTAAATTGTTTAATAATTGTAAAAACTCGCATAAGAGTTTATGAGCGCAAGATGTAAAGAAGGATAATTTTTACTTTCATATTTTTTATTAACTAATAAATATTTGCTGAAAGTGTAAAATGGAAACTTAAGTATAGAAAATTAATGCACTTATTAGAATTTCAAACCGAATCTTCAGAGATAGTTTTTTTCAACTGCATATATGATCTCTACGGTTGTAACATAGTTCACAGTCAAAGACATGCTTCGACTGCCCTCTCTATCCTTAGATAGCAGTATGCAAAACGCAGATTCTCGCAGATTTAAGTGCCTCTTTCTAGCAAACTTCTCCTTTCTGTCTGAAAGGATTCTTTATTGGAGTTAAACGATTTGGGATTGTCGTCAGATACTATAAGTAATAAATTTAGAGTTTTTTTATTGTTATGTAAATTTTGAAAGATATTTCTGATAGAAGCATAAAATGAAGTAATTTAATAAAAATATGTATTAACTTAAAAGCATGATAAGATTAAGACGATCGAGATGTTTATAGTTGATATTCATAGGCTCCCGGATGATAAGATAGTAAAATGTTAACTAGCTTTCAGAATCAAAGTACATTGTGTTAAGCCGGCTTGGCGCAGAGGTTTTCGAAAAACAGGTACAGAGATCTACAAGAAGTAGATGCAGAAGACATTCTAAATTTGTCTCTAACCTCTGAACTAAATCTTAAACATATGTATATGTCGCCCTTATCAGCACAAGGGTTAGTGCTCCAGGCTGCTACATTGTTCGTTGGGTTCGGGTTCGAATCTCGGAGAAGATATGGATGTTCGTAAGCGTATAGTGCATGGGAGCGTATAGAGCGTATAGTGCTGTGCAGCATGGGAGCATAAAAATAAAAAGCGAAAAAGTCCTCTGGAGTGGTTTGGGGGTAGAGAAAGAGAGAGAGGTGAAACCCTCGGACCCGTGCCACAGGTTGATTTCCACCAAAATTGGGATCTTTTCAAGATAAATTTCGAGGGCTTGTTCTGATTAAGCCAGACAAGTGAGATTAACAAACAGCAGGTGTAGGTAGAAGTCAGGCCAGAACCTCAATAGTACTGTAGGGAATTGAGACATTGCTCAGCCTAACTAACTGTTAGTTCGAGTGTTGAGGAAGTACACCTCGGGAGGCGGTTCGAGGGTAAAACTAAATACTTAACAGATAAATAAAATGCTGACAGCATTCTTTCCTGATACAGTAGAATTCCCCATGGTTAAGAACCCCTATTCCTGGACCTGGCTTTGCTCAAAATATGATCTGTTATAAGAATTATTGGTTCAAGGCCCATGTTAACCACAAACGCAGAACTGCTCTCCTTGCCACGATAAAATTCATGAACTTGTTTTCATTAAGAAAAAAAAAGAAAGAAAAGAAAAGAGATAAGCCACTACGACAACAAACAGATGGAGGCCAAAATAATACGAACATCTGTAAAATAATGGAAAATCTTTATTAATAGGGGGTTGGACCACTATTTGACTGAAGTACAGATATTTTGTCTGATACTGCAATGTCTCTTGTAGACTTCTGTGGCCAATCATGCAATAAATAATGTGGAAAGTAAAAAGAGTGAAAGACAAGCATAAAGTTTTCAAAGAATAACTCTAAATTGTTACATACCTTATTATGTTTGTAGAATAAGTTTGATTTGTAGGTACGCAGGAAAATCCTCAATAATTGATTTAAATTCCGTTCTTGTCATAAAAGACTGTTTATCTTGTTTTCTCTTATATGAAATCTTGATAAATTCTGATAAGCGATGGGCACTTTATGCTGAAACCGCTCTGTGAAACCAGATAAGGTGCGAGAAATGAAATGCTAAATTTACTTTTGCTGGAACTTAAGAATATAATGCATTTTTAAAGGGAACTCCATCCGTTTTACTAAGGCATCCAGTCTGTTTAAAGACATTGCAGCTTTTAAACTTTATTTGTGCTTTGAGATCTACTACAGTATTTTTAGTCAATGAAGTTAAAAAATAAATTCAACCAAATACCATGCAGTTGAATAACCGCAGTAAAGCTTTTAAATGCATTTTTACGCCATGATATCTGGCTCAATCAATTTTTAAAAAGCTAAGGAAAAAGGAGAAAAATTAATGACACTCATGCTGTCATTCAATTCACGTACCATTATTAAGGCAAGTAGAGCAGTGATATGAGTTTTTTAATCAAAGAAAAGATACACCTATTTTAGAGGGGGGAAAACCATTCTAAAATAAACTTTGGTACTTTAATTGATATTGCTCTTACATCTTTGAAAAATATAAAATCATTTTTCTGATATCTTCGTTTTATTTACAACATTAGTTTAACAGTAAACGAGAAAGAATTGGATAGCAATTGTGATCTTTAAATGAACGAAGGGATAAGACGGCAAAACACCAGTAATTTAACCCTGGCTCGAGTTCGGATGAATGAGCTGAACACTTGGCGTTTTTATGCTTCCTTCATGTGTAATGTAAATATTAACTAACGTAGCATAGAAAATCCATGTCTGAGAAGAGTGAACTTTGATGACTCTTCTCAGATATGGATGATGAATGAAAATGAAACTTGAAAAATATATACGTATCAGATTTTTTTCGATGAATGTTATACCTCTTCTCACAGCAAAATACCAATAGTTGTCTACTTGTTCTACAGTATTACTGCGAAAAGAATTTTGACAATAATTCCCATAATATTTTAATTGCACTGCAGACCTACTTTATACTCCAGTACCTGTAGCATCAACAGGGAGCAGTTTCTCAAAGATAATTCCCAAGGTTATGATTTTCATTAAATGAAGAAGGACTAGAGATCTGTTTGTCATTTTTTCCACTTCATAAAATACATAATTCCTAATTCAAATGAACTGTGCAGATATTAAAAAAAAAACTCTTTTTTTCTCCAAGTATAAAGTACTAAAAACTCAAACTTTAAACAATATTCCACGGTCAAAATGAGCTGAATCAGTTAATGCCTTTTAGTTGTTGGAATGGAGTTTTCAAAAAGGCATTGCAAGATGTGTCGATAGATCTAGAATACAAATATTTTATCTGATTTGAAGCGGATGATTAGGAAAAGCAATTTGACTCAATTGGAACGTATCTAGTGTTTTCAATTGGATTGCTTTGAACATTATTAATAAAGCATACAGAAGAATTAAGGCTCCTATATACCAGGAGGAGCCTTAAGAAGAATGAAACAGAATTTGAAATAGTGCTAATCTGTACTAAAAAAAAAAAAAAAAAAAATTAAAGACTGTCAGAATCTTCAAACATTTACATATGAGAAGGGAAAAGAAGAATTATTTATCTTGCCTTGAATAACCGTAATTTTTTTTAGGTAAGAATGTCCTGCCTAAAGAACTGATAGTGCTTCACTATCTGAATTTCTAATAAATTACCGTGGTTGCTCCATCTATTTGGAATCATCATAGTTTCTTAATAACCTCCATGGTTTCGAGTCAGGAGTCATGGAATTGTAAGTTAGTGATTTTAGGACCAAAAGTATACTCTGAGTCTCTAAATTCGTCTTGTTTTCTTTTGTAAGCAAACGAAATTATCATGTAATTATGCCTATTGGGCAGCATGGTTCGTCTGTAGGGAAAGTGAGCCAGTAGGCAAGCTGTCGAGTGCCTAATGAATTGGACGACATATATGGAGCTTTCGGTGAAAGTCCCACATATCTTGTCCAAATCATTGAAGGGCGCATGAATGAATCCCAATGTGTATAACAGGAGGAGAGCTCGCGTCATCTTTACTATTGCCAATCCTACTTGCTTCTATGAATTGCAGGGTATACACGGAATTTTTCGGAAGAGTATAATCCCTTTATCTCAATTTTAGTTTTTATCTCAGTCGCTAATTTATATATAAATCTTCACATATAAATCATTTTTTTTTTTTTATTTTGTGTCAGAAAGACGCGTTACCTATTCATACAATTTTTTCACATTTTCTTTCCTTTCTGGATTCAAAGGAAAAAAAGCGTCACTTGAAGGTGCACCAAAATACCAACTATTATGTGTTTATCAGTGTCTCCTTCGCGGAAAATGTAAACTGAATAACAAAAAATTTGTAAATCAATCTGTGTGTGTAAGTTTTAGACACACCTTTCGTAATGAACAAAAAATCTAAGTTAAATAGTGTATAAGGGATATGAATTAAATTTTTCGCTCAATTAAATTACTTCTTTTGTTATATACATAGTTTTCAACAAAATTTTGTAATTGAGAAAAATGACAGATTATGATGAATTAAAAAGATTTTATTCTGCAAAATTACGTAATATGTGGATCATTATTGGTGAGCAATCATAATTTAGAATTATTTGAAGTGCATGCTTTTTGTGACGTGTTATTTTTAGTTTCCGGTTATTTTTAGGTCATTTATTATAATTTGAGTTCCGGGTAGTGTTGAATGGAAACAATTCTGTGAATCAGGTGTAACCGAAAGGAATCCTCCTGTAAATCGTAATCACCCAGTGTGATGTCAGTAATTGATAAAATATGATGAAATAAACTAAACACAAACTAAATAAATGCTTATAATCCTTACATGCACAAAACATATTATTTGACATTTCAGGAAAATTTAGTAACATTATACGTAAGCAAAATGAGTTAGCACTGGAGGAAGTATCATAAATATAAAGGATTTTTCTGGAAGCAGTTGTGAGAAAGAGGTAGATGATATATATTCATGATAAGTTTTGGGTGAAACAAAACAAATTTTCAGTTATTTACTGTACCGTAATGCTGTTGTGTAAATTTATTATTTTCTTCTTATGATGTGTTAGTTAATTACATATAGTTTTAAAGTGAACTTTTTAAATATCTAACATTTTAGTACTAACTTTTTTTTAATTTTATTTTAAAAAGTATTTCTTAAATTACTTTACAGTGCATTTCAGAATAATGAACATGTATGCAAATAAATATGTGACTGGATATGTGCAAATAAATATGTGTTTTCTTGGAAGTATTTGTGATATCTTGAAAATATTTACTGGTGTATTGAAGTGATGTGAAATTTCGTCATTCATCATTAAACAGGCATACTAGCATTAGTTAAATACACATATTTTTAAAAGTTTACTGCTTCGAACATGTACCTGTTTTGAAATAAAGTCGCTTATTGGGCCCATTAACTACAATTTTCTTGTTGTCAGGATTTTGTAATTATGTAAATACTCTACTGTTTTGTAAATACTCAATGAGAAGGAAGAACATATAAACAGCAGTTAACTTGCATTTTCTCCACAAATTCTCAGCTGCTTATCAGAAATTAATCTGGTTTATGTAAACAAAGCTGGTGCCTTTGTAAAAGTGATCTGATGCATTGCATCATTTTTAAGGTGAAGGTAATTCTCACTTATATGGTATCAAAAGTCTTTAAATCAGACACACTTTTCTATATACTTTTATTGACCAGGTCTCTCACTTAAGATATTCTTAGAAAGTTAATAATGAGAGAATGAAACTATCATATAAAGTTAATTTAGAACAAAATAATTTTTAATTCTTTTTTGATTTAAAACTTAGCTTTAAATAAATTTAAAAATCACTGAATATGCATTCTTCGTATTTTGAAAAAGAAGCTAGGGCATTAAATTTTAGCTACACCTACTTCTATTTCTAAACCCTACTGACTAGCAATGTATTGTGTAGATCTTGTTTTGAAAATTTAGCGAGATTCAGTGTTTTTGTAAATTGTAAAATACTAAATTTTTTTTTTGTACTATAATGGATTATTTTGTTCATTGCCATGTGTTATTTCATTATAATCAACTGTTAAATTTCTTTTACACGGTATAACCTACAGGGACGTTTACTAGAGTTTCCAGCGCCCGGGGACAACTGAAGAATTTGCACCCTTTTCTGTGTACCAAGAATGAGAAACATTTCATTAAAAAATTTCACAGCATCAGTTAGGCGTCCCTTGGATGCTGCGCCCAGGGACAGATGTCCCCTCTTACCCTACCTTAGCTATGCTACTGGTAACCTATCTCAATATTAGCAACACATTTTGTTTATTCCGACTCTTAGGCCAATGCACATTTTATGATGGCCTTTATCAAGTCTCTTGCTAACTAATTTTTCATAAAAAAAAGTTTCTAAAATTTTAAAGTATTGCAGTTCAATGCCAAGCTTTTATTATATTTACTTTTACCACAGTAATATTGGGCTATGAACCAAGGATGCAATCATACTGAAATCTTAGAATAAACTTTAATTGCGAGACAAAGTAGTAGATAGCTAAGAAGATGTATTTCTGTTGAGACTGCTCAAACCAATGAAAATTATTCTGTTGTACAGGTAAATGTTATAATTTCATTCAAACTGCATCCTTACGTTTTATTTTATTGGCTTTCATTACATCTTCTGCAATTATGTTAATTGTTTTCTACTAAATAATATTATGGATAATTTTAGGAAATGCCATAAATCAAAAGTAACTTTATATCAAAAGTAACTTTTGTCATTATTTATCATATTATTACAAAAATAAATAAATAAATAAATTCTGTACTGAGCAGTTTTCTTCTGAAGTATCATAAAACGAAAACATAGTGTCCTAACAATACAGATTTAAAAAATAAATAAAATAAAATAAAATAAAATAAGCACAATAAAATAAAATAAATTATTTTAATTTTTATTATATTTACTTTAAAAATAAGGAATTTTTAAAGGAATAAAATTTAACATTTGCTTTAAAAATATTCCTTTAATAAAAAATATTTTAATAGCATGTTAGCAATTTCTATTCTTATATGTAATGGATGTTAATGTTTTTAAATTACTGATTGTTTTATTAATTTTGTGCTTTTCTTGGATTGATTTGATTATTCATTATTTGTAATTTTTTTCTTTTTCAGGAGCTCAATTTCATATTAATCTTATCTCAAGATTTAGATAAACTACATCTTTCATGTATAAATAAAACATGCGTGACCTTAGCTGGAATGCAACTTTATGGTATCGAGTGCGCTTACGGCGTCTCTATTTCCAGTCTAGGTTCTTATTTGAAGTAAATGTATGGCACATTATTCTTTTCGTCATAATTTCTCTTGTGCTTCCAACAGCTGCTCAGAATTATTCTCAAGAAGAAAATTTCTTTGTAGACTTTTCTTCCGAAATTGTTGACAATGGTAAGTGTTGTTTTTTTTTTTAATTTCCTTTTAGTGTCAAATTTAACAATACCTAGATTTGTATATTTATTTTTTAAAAACAAGTTTGAACATGAAATTATCCTAGAAAACAAATCGTTGAAACAGATAACAGTCTCTTATGAAGAGAAAACAGGATACTGGAAAACAGTATAAGTTAGTTTCTACATATCTTCTTCCTAATTCCAATTATTTACATGCAATTAGACTAATGTAATAAGCTTAGTTATTTTCATACTTCGTTATGTGTTTGGATTGTGAAATATGCTCAGAAAGTTGCCATATATTTAGAGTTTACAACATACTAAATGTTTAAAAGGTACACACATATGTTAAAGCATTTATTAAAAAGGTTAATAATAATATCAGATTATTGGAATAAAATTGAGATTTCTTCCTTTAAAAAAAAAAAGTTTAAATTTAATGTGATTTTTAATAGTATGAAGGGATTATTTGCTGATGCTTATGAAATGTTCAGTTTAAATTTCAAATGTCAGTAACCTTTTTATGCAGTTAAGCTGACAGTTAAAGTTTAGGTTGATCTTTACATTATGGTAACTTGGCGTTTTTTTGGCGAAATTTGGCGACCAACTCTCCTACAGCAACCCTCTATTTTTTTTTCCCGCCGCCATTTTGTCTTCACGAAGTAAAGACATGTTTCTTTTCTTTTTATCTACTGAACACTTCTTCCAACAATCTACTAGCCGAATTACACTTATGCTAGAAATTTTATCTAACAAAACTGCTTAATCATCACAAATTTCACTGCAAAATTGGGAAAAAGTGCACAATACCATACTCCTTAACGCGTTTTTCAAAATAACACATATACAAACCATGTACACGCCGACTTATTTTTACTTAAATACATCCCCAGAATGCACAAAAATGGCATTGCGCACACTCTTCACTATATCCATGTACACTGCTTTTTTCTCATAAATTAGAAAAATTTCACGAAAATATGACAATTTTCTGAATCTTTAAACCCGGTAAAAAGAACATATATGAAATTGCCTGATCACGAAAAAGTATTTACCCTTTCCAAATATGAACATTTCCACATATAAATAAATAAATATCCAAAACTTTTCCTCCTAAATCATCTATTACATTATACACGTCACCAACGAATTCATACCGCAAGCATTACAAATACTTAGTATCAAATATTTAAATTATTTCCATGCACGTTTACTTCAACTTAAACGTATACCAAATTCCTACAAACATAAAATTCACAAAATAACTATCATTTAATTAAAATACACTAAACCATGTACACACCGACTTATTTTTACTTAAAAAAACATCCCAGAATTGCACAAAATGGCATGCCCACTCTTCACTATATCCATGTACACTGCTTTTTTCTCATAAATTGGAAAAATTTCACGAAAATACATGACATTTTTCTCAATCCTTAACCCGTAAAAAGAACATATATGAAATTACCTGATCGCGAAAAAAGTATTTACCCTTTCCAAATATGAACATTTCCACATATAAAATAAATAAATATCCAAAAACTTTTACCTCTAAATCATCTATTACATTATACAACGTCACCAACGAATTCATACCGCAACCATTACAAATACTAGTGTCAGATATTTTAATTATTTCATGCACGTTTACTTCAACTAAAACGTATACCAAATTCCTACAAACATAAAATTCACAAAATAACTATCATTTAATTAAAATATAATTAAATTCAAAGAGCACATACATTAAATTAATACATACATAAATACCCCCCTTTGTTACGGCCATTCCAAAAATCACGAACACTGTTTCACACAACACAGACCAGACGAATACAAATTTCCAGAGTTTTTTCGATTCCCCCCTTTTTCCGATTAAAGAACCGTAATTTGCATTAATATCACATGCCATATCCATGATCTCGCATTTCCCTCACACAAAATAATGCGTAATCGGAACTGAGTACTGCTCACATTATTACCAAAGTCCCCAGGTAGTAACCTTATATCGCCTCCAAAATGTCGCCAAACTACCAGTTACCATATTGTAAAGATCAACCAAAGTTTAAACTCGGATGAATGTTTTTAAAAAGTTGGTTTCCTGAAAAGGTACTTGTATTTGCACAACCACCTTGGCACAGTTTGGCAGTTTTTTTAAAAAAAAAAGTTGATAACTTTATAAATAAAATATTTAAAAAAAAAAATCTGAAATTTTTCAGATTTTAAATTACGTCCAAAGGGGCGTTTTTTAACGTTTTGAGTGTTACCTTTTATTTATTAAATATCATGTTCTTTGCACTTAAACCATAAAATCAGTTCAAAGCAATATCGCAAAAATAATGTTAAATTAAGCATATCTTTAGAATTTCCGATATACACAGTCTCGCGAGCTGGAGAAAAAGTATTTTTTTTCTATATAACGTTGCCATTCGCAAAGCATTGAGTTGAAATCAAAAACCGAAAAGTTTTACAAAATATAAAATCTATAATAAAACAAAATTCCAAATTTGGGATTTCAGATGCCCATATTCGCAGTAGGATTTCGTCATTCAAAATTCGATGGCTCTATGTACCATTGTTTTATCACAATGCGAGAAATAGACAATCATTTATGCAGATTTTTCATTATTTAATTTCTTCAAATATAATGCAGGACTCTAACATTTTGTGGCAACAGTTTGAAAAGTGAACCGACCTTTATGAGTCTGACGCAAAATGCCAAAACGAAAGCAATAGTCCTTCGGGACTGAAATCCCTTTGGACTAATAATAAATTGCAATAAGTTTTATTTTTCATACATGCATATTATAAAGTGCATATTTTAGTTTTAGTTTGATATTCAGTCTGAAAAACAATTAATAAAATTACTTATATGCAGGGTTTTGTTTTTTGGTAGAAATTTCGTAATGATCTCTTTAAGATTAAATTCAAAGCAGTGGTTTTAGTGAGTAGCCTGGTCTTGACACCATATGAATTCGACTAGCAATTCTAGGTGTACCGCATTGCTTCTTGTTACATCATTTTGAAAATCCTAACATTCATTCTAGGTTTTGTTTATGTACACCAGTACCAGGATCAGCAAAGTTATATACATGATTAACTGTTTTCTGTATAAATCCAGCTTCTTCTAGTTGAGTTTTATGTCAAAATACATAATACTTCTTTCTTTAACATTTTCATTTATTTTCTGCATTAACACATTTGCATACTTCTATTAGGAACTGTAACCAAAAGGTTTCTTTCATTTCCTGACAGAATTCATTGCAGTGATAAAACACATCCAGTATCCTGTTTTCTCTTCATAAGAGACTGTTATCTGTTTCAACGATTTGTTTTCCTTCTGCCAATAATTTCTTAGATAATAATAACAAGGCTCTGTCAAGAACGCAGATCTTCCCTATGTAATTATTCCACTTAATCTAAAGTGACCACATTTTCATTGAGACAAAGCAGGACAAATGGAATGAAATGAGAATTGTAATTTTGTTATGAAAGCAGACCAATAATTCAAAAAAGAATATATTTTATTGTATACATTCATATACTTGTCTGTAAATATACAAAAATACATTTATTATTAACTTTTGGTAAATATAAAAATATTTGTAAAAAACTATAAACTATGATTTTCTTTCACGGTCATATTTTTTATCCAAGTGTATACTTTGCAATAGATTTGGATCATTTATTAAAATGTCGTGAAATTTCCTACATGAATTCATCGAATTATATTTGACCCTTAATACAGATTTTAAAGTTTTAATGTTCAACTGCGTTTTTTCAATTGTCCATATTTTATTTATACTAGAAAAATCATGTGCTGTTGCTGCATTTGTTCCTGGAAGGGAGAGTGCGTGTTCTACAATTTTCAAAATATTTTCATTTTTTAATATTTCATATATTCATTTGTAAAAAATTTTTCTGTTTTAAATGGAGGAATAACTCCATTCATTTTTTTGTCTGTTTCCACATTTGCAGACAACCAACATTTAATTTTTTCTTCAGTAACATATCTTTTTACCAATGACACCTTATCAAAAAGATCATTTTCGCAAATATTATTTTTCAGAAAATGGTTACTAATATATTAAAAAGATTTTTCCGCATATTCCCATAAAATCTCCTTTTTAATGTCATCCAGTTCTTTTATATTTGATTTCGGATGCTTTCACACAAATCCTTCAAACTTTGAACTCAAAACGCACAGTATAAGAATAAGAATAAAATTTTTTGCAATAATATTTTCAAGATCCACTGGAAGTAAATCAGATTGCTGTTTGTATAGTACTGTGTAGAATGTGCGCTGCACAAACCTACTCCAGTAATATTTTTTGGTTCAAATGTTCATTAAATTTCATGTAAAAACGATATTGATTGCCTGTTCTAGCTTTTCTATATCACCAAAATTTGCGTTAGTGTTATCCTCACGAATAGGCAATAATTTTATTCCTCAAATTATTCTTTTTTAAAAAGTAGAGCTTATTGAATCAAAAATTATTTATGAAGTTTCACCCGGCACCGGCTAATATTCTAATATTCTAATTTTAATTCCTGTTTCTGGATCAAAAAGTCTAACAATTGTGAGGAAATAATTTTAAATCTTTGTGGTTGGAAGCATCATAATATATGGATATAAATGTACCATTTAATCTAACTTTTTCTGGAATTGTGAAAACGAATATGTCGAAAAAACATTATAAATAATTGCTTCAGTTTTTGTCCTTGTACATGCAAATTTTTTTGTCATGCAATGTTTGGATCATTTGCGACGATACAATCAATTGATCTGAAACTTTGATTGTGGTTTCTGGTGTGGAAAGCAAAATAGCCCTTCAGCTAATGCTAGCTGTTCCTCCGTTAACAATACATATTCCTTGATGAGATGTAACGACAATGATTGAACACCACCGAGTAAATTTAACTCGTTACATCGCCTAATTTAGTTTACTCTGCATGCATTTTATGTGTTTTTATTTACGTATTTCTTATTTCTTT